ACACACATCAGCACGGGGCTCTGAACTCACACACACACAGCTCCAGGTTACCCTGCACGATCCACGTGTCACAAGGGAGCTGCTCAGAAACACAGACCCGGGTTCCTGATTACACACACCATAAAAAATAGCAGCAATCATTGTTCTGTACAGTGAGTAATCATGTTGAGTCAACCCCAGCACTGATAAGGAATCCTACGTATAAGGACTGGTTTACTGCAAGACTGGAGCAAACCCATGTGCTCAGGGGAGGATCAAATGTAAAGAAGTTGAAGTCACCACGCTTTCAAGCACGTGTGGAACTTCTGCACTCTTCATTCCTCTTAAGGCCTGTCGAACCACTTTAAGGAAACAAAACTTACAGGCTCAAGATCGAAACTCAACAGCACTTTCCCTATCACTGTGGACAGATTTCAGCCCTGCTGTTGAGCAGTAAAAGCTAAGCTGCTTCAGATGCAGATCATTTCACTGTGTAAAAGGCTGAAAGATGGACAGACCAGCTGGCTGTCAGAGCTCCCAGACTTTCAGACTAGGATCATTTCTTGAAGATAAGGAAACCACTGTGGTTACAGATGGTTCTAGGATTGGTATACATTGAATTTGCTGCAGGAAGTCCAGGAAGGAATCCAGGGATGCACCGAACATTCGCTGCTCTGTTCCTGTCATTATTAATAGAGAGCCACAGCTTCACACCCAGTTCACACCAGCACAAGCAGGAGTGCAGGGTGGGATGGATCTACGTGACAGGGCAACCTTCTAAGCTGCAAGAAAACAGGAAGGTAAAAACAGTTATGGGAGAAATAAACACCAGCAGAGAACACAGAGCTGAGCTGAGAGCAAACTGCTGAAATCCCATCCCAGTGCAGTGACCTCAGTTACCTCCCAGCAGCAGCATGGGCACCAAACCCCACACGTCCTTCTGCAGAGAGAATAAAGGCAAATAAGAGGCTCCTGGGCTGTATGAGTGCACAGATATTGCTGTTTGATTGCAGGATGCCACGCAGGAAGCAGCTGTGAGTGGTAGAAGTGACTCAAACACTTCATGGGTCAGCATTCAGGGACCTCAGCTTCATTTTGCAGAGGTCTAATTAAGGTCTAATCTGCCTGCAGGCACACAGAGCTGTTACATCAGCCTATCCCTCTGTGAGTTACCACCTTTCTTCCTCTTTACATGGGTCTAAGATACCCTAGGGCACAATTAGTGGATTTGGTAACGTTGTTCCAAATACTGGGGTTGGATTCTGTTCACAGGTACAAACAGTGAATTAGTTCAAAAAAGAAAATAATTCATGAAATTGGTGACTGTTCAGGGTGCTTCCCAGCCACACAGCAGGATTTTAAGCCCTGAGCATCGACCCACAGCTGGGCTCACTGATTCAGAACAGCATCAGTTATGGAGGACAAAAAAACCCAACGCACTCATTTCTCTCCAAATGGAAAAACAATATTTCAGCTGTGCTGACCATTACATTTGTCACCAGCACCTGCCCCAGTGAGAACAGGTACAAACAGGTATGAAGTTACACCCAAGCCAGGCTCTCAAAGAGGCAAACAGATCTCTTAGTGCTAAGAATGCAGCCTTTCCTCTTTGCTATCTTGTTATGCTGGCTCATTCTCATGGGACTCAGCATCACCATTACTGACACAAAGGCTGGAAGTGTCAGGAGAGACTCAAGAGGAGCACAGCACGCCTGACAAGCAGCTGTGCACACCTGCAGCATCACAGACCCCACCAGAGGGCCCCGTGCTGACAGCTGGAACAGAGAATCTGAGTGATTCCTCCCAAACCTTAACGATTCTGGGATAAGTGACATTTAATTGCATCCAAGCACGTGCACTAAAAACTTTAACACCCCAAGGAGCATTAATGCACCTTACAGTGAAACTTTAGTGGCTTCCTGCAGCACTCAGAATTATTTTTCTCCTCCAAAAGACACCTGGTGTCTGTAACCCAAGCAGGTTCGACACACAAAGCTTGCAACACAAAGTCCTGGTTACTCTATTTACACACAAAACTCCTGAAATACTTCACACGATTCACAAGAGAAAAGGGCTTTCCAGAAGAAAAATGTTGATGACGATTCTCCTCTGCCTCCCTGATGATGGAAATCAGAACACAAATGGGACACAAACACAGAATGAAAGTTATGTCTTAAAAAGAAAATTTCATTTCGAGTCACTTCAAGAAATTCTGTGCTCTGTGTCACTGAATTACGAGATCTGCCACAACGTGAGGCATGCTGCTTTCAGCCACATAATTAGACCATAAGCTCACAGAGCATGATTTGGCACCATTGACACTGGAATCCTGGTGCAAATGACCTCACCCACATACCACAGTTAAAAAAACAAAGCCAGAAACAGAAATATACCTTTTTCCTCTTGGTACTTCTACATTTTTCACCAGAAAGAATGCCATGCTGCACCAAGTCTGCGACCCCACAGTTATGCTTTTCCAGCTGTACCCGACAGACAGTTAAGAGACTATGCTCAGAACTGATCAAACTCAGCCCCTCTGTTCCTTTGAGGCTGGGCTTTCCTCTTCTCTCCGCTGTTTGAAAGGGTGCCTTGAAATTTAAAGGGTTATAAGGATCATCTGAGGTACAGAATGAGTTCCAAAGTTTCAAGTTTTCTGCCTCGTCCACGCTGCTGCAATCCCATTCGTCCTCATCTTCTGAACTGGGGTGAGGAGAGCCTGAAGACGACTCTGCCCATGAAGAATCCTCCTCCTCCTCCTCCTCCTCCTCCTCCTCTCCCACATTGGCCACACAGGGCAAAGCCTTCCCCGGCTCACTGGAAGATGTCTGAATGGTTGCTGTAAAGTTCTGAGGGTTGTAAGGATCCAGGCTGAAGAAGGAGTTCCAAAGATGCAACCTCTCCCCGTTCTGGCTGCTGTCATCTGAATCCGAGAGCAGCCCTTCGCTGTCAAACCCATCATCATCATCATCATCATCATCATCCCAGTCTTCCTCATCATCCGCACTCTCCTCCCCACTGGAGTTCCCCCCCAGGATGTAGTCTATTAACTTATTAGCACAGGCAGGCCTGACCGACACAAACAGGCTTCTCTCTGTTTCAGAGCCCTCCGCAGCACAAAGTTCCTCCCGCACTTCTCCCTTCTCAGCCGAACCCCGGGATCCCTCCAACTCATCGGGCTGCCTCCACACACCACGCTGCTCGCAATCTCCTCTCAGGGCTCCCCTGTGCTGCTGCTGCTCCTCCTCCAGGCTGTGATACCCGTGATCCGGCTCGGGCACGGCCATTCCCCGCAGCCGTAAGCAATCCAGCCGTTTGCTGCGGAGCCGTTCCAACTCAACCAGCCGACCCTGCCCTCCCCACCCCTCGGCGCTCAGAGGCTGCGGCAGATGGCTGCCGGAGGAGCGGCACTCCGGGCTGTTCGCACCCAGCACGAAGGAAAGGAACCCGGCGTGAGGCACAACCAGCCCCCGGGCGGGCTCCGTGCCCTCCGTGCCCTTCTCCTCGGCCCATCGCAGAGCTGCGGGCGGCAACAGCAAAGGAGGCGGCGGAGCTGAGGGCCCAGCGGGGCACAGAGCACTGCTCAGAGCCGGGCCGGGCCGCAGGCGCTGCAACAGAGCGGGCAGAGGGGAAAGGAGCTGAGAGAGCAACCGCAGCCAGGAGAACGGCGGGCTGGGCTGCGGCGGGGCCGAAGGGGAGGCAGACGGTTGGGCCGGGCCGAGGAGCTTAGGCCGAGCGACAGGGAAGCCAAGCAGAGAGCCGGGCCGAGCCGGCCCCACGGCGGGGCTGGGTCGCTGCCGGCCGATCGGCTCCATGAACGGTGCGAGAAGGGTCCTCAGCGATGTCGGCGGCGTTGCCGGGGGTGCGGGGCGGCGGGGCGGAGCGTCGGGCGGCGGGGTCTGGGCGCCATCCTGAGAGGAATCCGGGCGGCCGGCGGCGGGAGTAACAAAATGGCGGCGGGGGAGCGAGCGCAGCGCTTACATCCGGTCCCGACCGGCGCGAGCCCTTAGGGGCGGGTGGAGAGAGACTGCGCATGCGCGAGGCGTCACGCCGCTACGCTGCCGCTCATTGGGCGTTGCTGAGGCCACGCCCCCATGGAGGGCGGTGGAAGGGCACCGCCCACCTCTCGGCGTGGGGATTGCATCAGCCGCTGTGCTGAGCGGTATTGCGCCCCCTGGCGGCCCGGAGGGGAGCAGCGTGGTCTGAAAGCAGGGAGGTGGGAACGTTCCGTCATGGCACGGCTGGGTTGGAAGGGACATCAAAGATCGCCTCGATCCAAGCACCCTGTCGCGGGCAGGGTTGCCAACCACTAAATCATGCACACCTCGCCTGGACGTCCCCTCCTTAATTTAAAGCCGTTCCCCCTCGTCCTATTACATAGACGAGCCCGACGCTCCTCCCCACGTCCTGCTCCCGTTTCCATCCCTATTCCTGTCCCCATCCCACTACTGCCCCGCAGGGTCACACAAGGTCCCACGCTGCCCCTTGCACTTCATCGCTTTATTTTCACTCTGCCGTGCTACATCCAGGAGGGTCCCGCTGCTGGGGGGTGCCCAATGCCACCTCCCCCAGGCCCCTCTCCCTCTCAATACAGTCTTTAAAACTTTTAATATAAAGTTTAAGTTCATTATTCTCGATCCTGAGAAACATTTCGTCCGTTTACGGAGCTGTCGCTGTAAACAAAGCACCACAGGCACCAAGCCTGCACCCCAGCACAGGGCCAGGCGGGGGGAAAGGAGGTGGCCGTGCTCCCCAGGGGGTGTTGGCGGGGGTCTCCCATTTCAGGATGGGCTCCCGCCGTGCTGCTCTCCTTTGGGAGCAAATCCCCTGTGCTGGGAACGGCCTCAATGGCATCAAAGTGAGGAACAGATGTCCCGAAACCAACCTTGGCGATGCCACCGCCCCGGTGCCTGGCCGCGTGCTACACGTTGTCATTAAAAAAATTAAAATACGGATATCCCAAAGGAAGAAATAACCCCGCCCCGGGGCGGCCGGGGGGGGCGGGGGGGCCCAACCCCCCCCAGCATTGCTCCCTTGACACAAGGTAAACTTAAAAAAGAAGACGTCTAACGGCAGCTCCCTCTGGGCACCTCTTGGCATCGGTGCCCATTCCCGGAGCTCAGAGCGTGCCGTGGCCGCGGGATCCAAGGGCGAACCACCCCATCTTCTCCTGTGCCAAATCGAGGTCCCGCAGACGGATGCCGACCTCCCCAAGGAGAATGTTCTCCCAAAAGCCTTCCTCGCTCAGCACGCTCAGCCGCAGTTCCCGTTGCTGCAGGTCACCCCGAGGCACCCCATCGTAGACCAGCTGTGGGGACAGAGTAGGGCAGAACCTCAACCACGGACTCCAACTGTCCCCCCACTGTCACCATCTCCGTCCTCATCTCCGCCCCCATCACCACTCCTACCCCCCATCACCATCCCCAAACATCATCACCCCCGTTGCCACTGCCATCCCCATTCTAATCCCCATCGCCATCCCCATACCATCTCGTTGTAGGTAGGGTTGCAGGTTTTCCGGGCCACTTTGGTTTTCCTCTTAGTGGTTTTCTGGGGGTCAGGCAGCAGGTAGGTCTTGACGTAGGGGTCAGGGTCATTGCCATCCTGGAGGGGCTGCTGCAGAACACAGCATGGGGCATCCTGTGAGCCTGGCAGTGGGGCTGGATTCCATCCCCATCGCCACCAGGACACTGCGCACCTACCAGCCCCCGGATGTGCATCACCATGATGAAGAGCTTGTTGTTCTTGTAGGAGATGGAGAGCTTCACCTCCCCGCCAACCTTCCCCAGGGGACGAGCCCATGTGGTGTCTGGAGAGGAGGAAGAGGGACAGGGGAGGGGAGCAGGAGGGACACGGAAGGGCCCCGGATAGGATATGGGGCTCACCCCAGCCCACCTACCTGCCGGCTTTGGGGCCGGGTTGGTGCCAGCTGCCTTCTCATCTCTGGGTAGTGGGTGGAAAAAGGTATAGATGAGGTCACACTGCAAGGCAAGGAGGGGCTGTTACCAGTACTTCACATGCCACGTTTGTCCCATTGCCGCCCAAGTTATCTTCACCAACACCCCCAGCCCACCCTCCCGGGGTCCCCCAGCTCCGCACCTCGGCCACTTCAGGGGCAGCGTGGATGAGATGCCAGATGTAGCCATTGAGTTCTTCTTTCCTCCTCTCAGCCACTGCCTCTCCTCGTGACCGGCCGATAATGAACCTGCTGGGGAAGCTGTCAAAGGGCACAGACACTCAGTGACCCTGCAGGGCATTGGAAGCTCTGGTGCCAGGTGTCTGGGGGTACCTGGGCAGCAGCGAGGAGGGGAAGAGCAGGCGCAGCTTGTTGTGCAACTCCTGGAACTCCTCAAAGGTGCGCTGCACAAAGGTCACCTCGCTCGGGCTCTCCCGTTTCACCTTCACCACGTAGGTCTGCAGGGAGATGGGGCTGTGATACAGGATGGAGGCAACAGGATGCCCCACACCCAGCCGTGTCAGGGATTCAGGGATAAAGAACGCTTCAGGACAGAGCGAGTTGTTCCTCTGCCCATCTCCTCGGGCTGTCCTCAACCATCCCAACTCACGTAGCCCTTGCTGGGGTTGAAGACCCTCTCATGGCGGCAGAGGAAGACATCGCAGATCCGGCCGGATGTCTTGATGGTGTGTGTGCGGGGGGCAAAGGAGAGGGTGGGGCGGGCATCAGAGCCTGTGAACTTCATCTGTGCCAGGTTGTGGATGAAGAAGTTGAGCTTGGTGGCCACACTGCCCAGGCTGGACTCAATCAACCTGCAACGAGGCCACGTGTTAGCATGGAGGCACTTGGCTGAGAAGCGGCTGGTGGCCGTGCCTCTCTCCTGGGGGTCACCAACCCACATCCTATACCTGGTGAAGTAGGTGGTAGCATCAGCGTCAGTGTCCTGTGGCCTTAGTGCATCGTAGACATATTTGAGGTCCTCCAGGTCGGAAAGTTCAGGGATGCCACAGGACAGCATCTGGGCAGCGAGGTGAGGGTGGGTGGTGAGATGAGGACGCATCCCCCAGCCACCCCATGGCCCTTCTGAGTGTCCCCAGGTCCTCACCAGCCCCAGCAGGTTGAGGAAGAGATGGGTGTGCTTGCGGATCAGGTTATAGGCCTGGCAGCACAGATCGACGAAGTCGTGGAAGCGGCTAGAGGGCTTGTCCCCACCATTGATGACGTATGCCATGTCTGAAGTGAAGACAAACGGTGCCCGGTCCCTGTGTTGGGGGTACAGAGTGAACACAGAGGCACGAGGAGAGGAACTTCACCCATAAAATCAGGAGGAACCCCAGTGTTAAGGAACCACAACCCCATGTGGACAATTGCAGTGAGAAGGAAGGTGAAATCAGAAGCATTCCTCACCTCTTGATGTTGCCAAACATCTGAGCGTGGCCCAGGAACCTGCCAAAATCGATGTGAAACATGTGGCCGGTGGTCTTGAGCATGATGTTGTCGTTGTGTCGATCGCAGATCCCCAGCACATAGGTGGCCACACAGCAGCCAGCGCAGGAGTAGATGAAGTTCTCCACAGCCTGGAAAGGATGGAGAGATAGGGAAATGCGGGGCAGCTCATCTGTGCTGCTCCCCCATGAGATGTATATCGTCTCTGGATAGGTGGACTCGCAGAGCAGGGACTCTGCCAGGCTGCTCCTCACCTTCTCATACTCATCCTCCTCAGGGTTGTGTTTCTGTAGCCAGTCAGCCAGTGGTCTGTCCTTAAAGGAGCCCGTCACACCGTGCTCCACCTGGATTTTCCGTAGGGTCTCGGCGTTGGGGATCATCTCCACCATGCCTGGCAGCCAAGACAGCAAGGTGAGACCTGTCCTTCCCACCTGGGGAGCATCAAGATCCCAGCACCCTTCATCGCCAACCTTGATGTGACCGTCTACAAAGTCATGCTCCTACACACAGTCTGGAGGGATCAAACCCAACAGTGGCTCACAGCAACCCATGGTGGCTTCTCTCTATAAACCCCCAGGGCATCCCATGCTATTGCAAATCTGAGAGCATCACAGCTTGGTGACTGATGCCCTGATGCTGGGTTACCTCGTCCACGACCTGTGGAGAAGCAGCGGAAGATGACCATGCGCATGTCCAGCCCCTCCTGCACCCAGATTTTGTTCATGATCCGGATCATCTGCAGTGTCAGCATGTCCTGCCGCAGATCATCGCCACACTGCAAGCCAGTAGGGAGCCATCAGACCAAGGGTGCTGGGGGAAGAGCATCCCGCTGGGAATGGAGATGCTGTGCTGTGATTTGGGCAGTGCTGAGAGGATGAACTCACCTTGAAGATGACCCGGATATTTTCTCCAAGGGGATCGACGTTCTGGAAGGAGAGCTTCAGCGGGACGGCGTTGGAGTTGAAATAGGAACAGTCCTGGCACCGGGGAAAGAAAAGGCAGCTCATCAGGGATTGGTGGCTCCGGGTGGGTGATGACACCCCAAGCCCAGCACTCACCCGGGGCACTATCCCCTTCACCAGCAGGCTGGGGCTGAGAGGCAGCCGGCACGACCCGTTAGCCTTGAAAAACTGCTTCACCTCCTCCAGCCCCTCACGCAGGATGCCCTGTGGGGAGGGACGTTGGGTGGCTGAGACCTGCCTGGATCCTGTAAGACCCCACAGAGCCCAACACCCACCTGGCGTGAGGATGGAGCAGCATCCCGCACTTGTTGGGCCAGCCTGGCCAATGTGTTGACCAGCAGGCACTGCCGGTCAAACTCCTCCCGCAGTCCCTTCCCACAGCAGCACAGCAGAGCTGCCAACAGGTACTGGTAGCGGATGCTGAACTGGGAATCTTTCAGGCCATCCTTCAGCAGCCTGCCCGCAGCACAAGCATTGTGGGGTCAGGCATGTCCTGGAGCCACCCAGCCCGCTCTTGGTCCCCTCAGACTCACCAGAAGAAATAGTGGGTGATTTTCAGGTCGCAGATCGCTCGCTTCATGAGGAAGCGCACCAGTGGGCTGTCCAGGTAGCATTCATATTTCAAAGCCTGGATTAGGGGAAGAGAGGATAGTTCTGGGGTGCAGGAGGACCAGCACATGCCCCAAGCTGTGTTCTGGTCCAAGCACATGCCCAATGCTGCACCTCTATCCTGGCATGTATTCCATTTACATCATCAACCCAGTGCACATCCACTGCTGCATCCCAATCCTAGCCATCCTGCAGCACCCCCATCCCAGTATGTATCACATTGCATCTCAGAACACATCCCATGCAGCACCCCCATCCCAGCACACACCTGGACCAGCTGGGGCAGGTAATCCAGCAGCTCTGTGTCAGAGATGGAGTCAATCCACTGCACGGCTGTCCTCCTCACCTCCTGGTCCGGGAACCTACACAGGGTAATTGTCACAGGGACAGCATAACCCCCATGGGATGGCCACCACGGGGCCCTGCCCACTCACCCCCCACCAAGGACATGGCACCAATGGGGTTGGATGCTCCACCAAGCAGGTATGGAAGCCCACAACCTGCAGCACACGCTGCCCCATCCATGTCCACGCAACAGAGACTTACGTGGCGTGAAGGAGTCCCAGGGCATCCTGGTGGCTCATGTAGGTCCACTGGCTCAGCAGGGCATAGATGTCAGGCAGGCAGGCCCACTCCCAGCTGGGTGCACTGGCCAGCAGCATGGGCAGTGAGCCAGGTGCTGCGTGGCAGTAGTAGCGCTTCTCCCACAGCCGTTTGCGGTCCGCATCTGTCAACCTGCAGCAGCAGGCAAGTGGGGATGGCAAAGACTGGGCACAAGGTACCGCTCCGACCCCACCATGCATGGATAAAACCCTCCACAACCTTAAGAGAGCCAGTGGATGGGGCTGTGCCATGCTGCACGATGCTGGGTGCTCCCCTGGTCCGAGGGACACCCATCACAGAGGTGACAGAGCTGCCGCAGGGACCCCACACCAGCTTGCCTGGCATTGCACCCAGATGTTTCGCAGGCAAAATTAATGCTGTTGCTGGGTCCTGGCAGGGTGGCTGCCAGTAGGGACACATCCACCACTGCTGCCGTGCTCTGTGGATCCAGGCACGGCTGCTGACACCCGATCCTCCCTGTTTATAGCATCGGCAGACGCCGGCCGGCTCAGCAGCACTGAGCAGCGCAGCTCTGCTAAACCCCAAACTCATCCTCCAGCCCCAGCTGCTTCCCCAGACCAGCTGCTGGAGGCAGGATCAGGCCCCCAGATGCCCCCTGTGCATGCCAGCCAATGCTGGGGAGAGCTCAGCTGAGACCCCCCCCAAGGAAGGACGACGCTGATTCCCTCCATTGCTCACCAATAGAGCGATTTCTTCTGCATCGCCTCCCGCAGCCTGCGCTGGTCCTCCTCACCCAGGCTGCCAAATTCGTACTTGGGGCTCACCTCGGCCGCCAGCGGGCTCACGAACTTCACGTCGAAAGCAGAGGTGGGGAAATCGATCTGGGACAAAGGGTGGGTGAGTGAGCAGTGCCTCGGCACCCCTCCGGTGCCCCACTGCTGGGACCCACCTGCAGGATGACGCTGTCGGGCTGGTTGAAGTTGGGGGCACTCGATCTGGCTCTGGAGTTGTCCTGGGTTGCCGGCCACAAGCCCAAAAGCTTTCTCCCGCAGGTCAGAACCCTGGAGGAGAAAGGGGAGGCTGTTTGGAGGGGCTGCTCCGCCGGGGTTAGGGTGGCACCGCTGCGTTCCCACACTGAGCCCTGGGGGACCCTCACAGCCCACCCTGGGGTGCCCGTGGTGGTTGGATGCCCTACGCACTGCCTGAAGTTGAAGAGCGGAGTGGTGACCCAGCCCAGGGCCTCAGGGACCCGCCGCTGCCTGTTGGTGTCAGAGGAGTTCCCCGGGGGGGGGGACGGGCACGGCGAAGAGCGTGACGCTGAGCAGCGTCTCCCGAGGCAGTCGGTTCACCTGGACGGGGAAGCAGATCCTGCAAGAGAGCAGTCAGAGCCCCACGGCACGGGTCAGCCCCAGCCCCCCACCTCGGAATGCCAACAGAGCTCAGCAAATGCCTTTGCTGCTGGCTCCGGAGGTGCCACGTGCACCCTGACGTCACGGGCATACCCCCCCACGTTGGACAGAGCCGGCTGCTCCCACACCCCTGCTTTGTCCTGGGTAGGTGATGGGGGGACACTCCACACTGACCTCTTCCCAGCTTCTCCCTGTCACTGTGGGGGTCCTCAAGGAGCTGAGGGCATCCTGCCCACAGGGTGGGCAAGGGACGGGAGAGATGGGCAGAGGGAATGACTGCCACTGGGCGCACGTCCTTCAGGGCACAGGCACCTTCTAAAATTATCCCGTTCCCATCCCCACCTCTTTGCATGCCAGCCTCCCTGCCTGCTCCCAGGGCTATTTTGGGAGCAGATCCCCTTTCCCGGGTGCAAACAGGAGGTGGGGGACTGGCGCCACGGGCAGCTGCTATTCCTGGGGATGACATAAGAGCTTCCATAACCCAAAAATTGGGGAGAGGCACAGAAAGGAACTGCTGGAGGAGACAGTACGGCTGGGGACGGCACCGGGTACCCATGCCCACCCCACGGCCAGGGTGCTGCCTTACTGCTGGTCCCATATGATGAGGTGGAAAAGGTACTTGTAGACGTGGGCCTTTCTGGTGTGCAGGGGGCTGCACAGCTCCTTACCACCGTGTGTGATGGAGCAAGAGAGGTAGAAATCTTCATAGCTGCAAGGGGAGAAGAAAAAGAAAGGGGAAAAGAAACGTGAGCGGGGGGAGCAGCCACAGCTCTGAGGGTGCTTGGAGTTCACCTATCCAAAGGGAAAACCTCACAGCAGTGGGGTTGGGAAGAGGGGGGGCACAAGAGGCTTGGATCTATTCCCATGGCCGGCCACACTCTAATGAAGCCCCTCCACAAGTGGCTCGCCTTCCCCAGCTTTGCACAAGGGGGGGTGGATACAGAGCCAGCAGCCCCTGCCCTTCCCATCCCCATCACCATATGGCATCGTGCATACCGTCACACGGGGGGCTGCAGGGGGGGCCCTGCCATGTGGCAGGTGCCGAGCGACAATCCGGGGAGGGCTGCAGGGCTCTGGAGGTCAGGGGATGTCGGCATTTCCCAGGCTACCGCCTTTGTTCGGAGCCAGTCACCAGGGGGAATACATTAAAGGCAGGACAAAGGCGAGGGGTCCCTGGCGGGGCGGCTGCAGCCGACGCTGCTGCCTCACACGCCCTCCCCGCGGTGGGCTCCTGGACTGCCATCGTCTCCCCTGAGTGGGGCTGAGAGCGGGCACGGGCATCGGGGCCATCTGTCACATCGCCAGGGAGGCTGTGAGCCTGGGAGTGATGCTGGAACCTTGGGGATTTGTGTGGTTGGAGAGGGAGAGCAGCACGGAGCCCGTGCCATCCGCCTGCACCACGCAAGCATCGCTCGCTGCACACCGGACGTGGCTCATAATTCTGTCCTTAAGGAACCTTGGGGTGGGTTAGTTTTTATGCTGAATATTTAGCAGCCTAGAGATGGAACCAATGCGTCTGAGCCCCAGGAGACGCAGGTGGAGGCTGAGCAAGGTTCATGTGGCCGCCCTACCTGGCAGCCCAGGTGATGGGGATGCGGTGCGTGGCGTAAACGGTGAAGGAGAGTGGGCAGGAGAGCAGGCGAGCCTCCTGCACCACGCCGTGCTCCCGGCTCCATTGCACAGCTGTCTGGAAGTCAGCATTGAAGGTGCTGCAGTAAAGCCCCACCAGGTCCAGGATGGCAGCCGTCAGGCTCTCCACGATCCTCTCTGCGGGGGAGAAAGGAGAGGAGTGACACGGAGCTGCCCCAGACCTGCAGTCCTGCTCCATAGGGTGGCCCATAGGGGCTGGGATGCTGGGGGGATCCTGGGCAGGGCTCTGCTCTGGGGCATGAGCAGGAATTGCAGGCTTCCATTTTGCTGAGCTGATAGGGAGGAACAACAGGCACGGCCTCCTGAAACCCTCTTTTCTTAAGAAGGGTTTCAAACCCATTTTCGGCCTTAATAATTGAGGAGGAGGGGTTTGAAGATTAAAAGCACCGAGAACTTCAGCCCAGAAAGGGAGGAGGAGAATTGAAATACCTCGATTTTCCCTCTTGGCCAGAACATTTGGATCCTGCAGAGGAAAAAAGAAAAGAAACCACAAGAGCAATATCAGCATGAGCCCCGTGCATCGCTGTGGCTGGGAGCAGCTCTCCAAGCCAGCAGCTTTACGTAAGCAGCCGGGGTGAGCACCAAGGTCCCAGCCCTTCAGCTGCTGCCTGCTCCCAGCTATTGAGGAATTTTCCACGTGGTGTGAAGGAAAGGAGTGAATGGGATCAGCCTGCAAACAGGGCTTTCCCTCTGCAACCACCCCTGGTCTCCTCAACCCTTACCTTCTGGATTTTGGGCTGCATGCGGGAGGGACAGGGGGGCATCTGGTTGAGGGCTGTTGTGATTTCCTGCGACTCAACGGCAGCCAGGGCGTTGCAGATGGCCATGACCGACTGGATCACCCTCTCTGCCTTCAGTGGAAAGTCTCCCTGTGGGGAAGAGGGAGGATGAGCAGAGCCCAGAGCCAGGGCAAAGCGGAGCTCAGGTCTTTTTCAGGGGAGGCTGCAGCAACAGGGCATGGGGCAGGGAGCAACATCTGCACCCTCCTGTGCTTAAGTGAACACCAAGGAGAGGAATAAATGTTGCCATCAGTCTTTATAGCAGCCCCTCAGCCTGCCACACACCATACACCGTGAGTGCATCAGCCTGTGCCTCAGTTTCCTCTCATTTCCCAGCCTTTCTCTGAAGCACCCTTAGAGCCCCATCACAAGTGGAAAAAGTCCACAGCAAATGCTGCTGGGGTCCAGAGAAAAATGGGACCCCACTCTCTTGTGGCAGTGCTGTCCTCTTGGGTGTGTGGCAGCCCTCAGGGATGGGGCGGATCTGTGCAGGAGCACAGAGGGATTCTTTTCCCCAAGGAGAAGAAGCTGCACCCCCAAAAGCACTCACCTCAGCTGCCAGGAATGCATCCACCTCGTTGTGGAAGGTGTCAAAGAGGAGACTCAGGGCCTGCCTGGGGGACAGAGAGCAGAGCTCAGCCCTGTGAGGAGGGTGGACAGCATGGGGCTGTGCTTTCCTGTTCCCCATTACCTGCTGATGGTCTGCTTGATAGGCCTCTCCTGTAGGTGGATGTAGTGATTGAGGGTGGAGGGGCTTTGATCATCGCTGGCCTGGAGGAGGAGAGAGGCTGTGCCATGTGCTGTGCCTCCTGCTCCTCTTCTCACCCCCCTCAGCAGGCTGATACGGGGCTGGGAGCTCCAATGCTTGAGCTTGCACCTGGCATTAGCTAACCCCTAACCCAGCAAAGCATCCCTAGGGGCAGTGGGGATGCAGGATCAAGGCAGGATCCCTGTGCAGGCATTCAGAGTGATCCCTGTGCTGGCACCCACCGTCCGGGCCAGGTCGCTGCGCACCGCCTTCCTCCTCATCAGCTGCAGGCGGATGTCGATGTCAAATTTCCTGCAGTGCTGGATGTATTCATGGCTCCCTAATGCGTGCTTGCTGTGGGGACACAGACAACAGGCTCATTGCATGGCCCTTCTCCACCTGCTGAGGACAGGCTGGGGGAAAATCCCCTAAATCCAGCCCTATGCTAACACCCGGTGGCTGAGCACGGCCAGGGTTTGGCTGCGCTTCCTTTGCCTGCAGAACATTTCACTGAGTTGCTGTGCTAGGAAAGCCTTAAGAATATACTATTGTTTTTCCTCCTTCCTCTGTGCCCTCCATAAAGCGGTGGCCAGCCCTGCTGGGAGCAGGCATGGAAGAGGCTGGCTGAAAGCCTGGCACCGTGGGCTTCTGCAGAATGGGAAAGCCCCACATTAGGGTGCATGGAGCTTGCTGTACAGCCCTGCTTTCTTTGCCAGCTTCAGAGTAGAATGAACCAATTCAGCCCTCGCTGTCACCGCTGGGCACAGTGCCGCAGGGCGGGCAGCACATCTGCAGGCTCAATGGCAGGATGGAGTTGCAATGGCAGGATGCAGGGGGGTGGGGGGGCTGCAAGGGATGGGGACACGGAGCCCCAATCACTGTGTGGCCATCGTCACTGGGCCCTGCCCTGCTGCAGGAGGATGGGGAGGAGGCACAGCAGGAAGCCTGGCTCGGGCAGCAATGGGCCCTTATCACACAGGGCCAGCATCCTGAGCACCCCGCCTCGGGATGCAAACATCCCCCGGGATGCTCAGCCCAGCCCTGCCTTTCTCCTGCACCTAACAAATGTAAGTTGGCAGAAAGCACCAGCAGCTCGGGCTGCTTTGGAGAGCTTGAGTGCCCAACTGGTTCTGCATGGAGGGTTTTGGCACTTCCAGCATCTCCTCTGCTGGGGGAAGATGTGGAAAGAAAAGGCCGACAATGAAAGGGCTTTATTTCCCAGGGCTTTCTCAAAGAGGGCTGTGAGAGATACAGGAGCTGCTCACTGGGGACGGGCTGTACTGCTCCCAGCCCAGGATGCCTGGGATACCAGGGAGGACAACGCAGCTGCGACTGCTTTCCAAATGGAGAAATTAGGTAGAAATGAGAGGATTCGCTTTAAATCACCCAGAAATCCTCCAGCAGAGCCCAGGATGGACTCACAGCCCCACCTGTCTGCCTGAGCAGCATCCATCCTCGAAAGCCCTGCCTTCCTCTTTAAAGTGCAGGCTGTAAAAAGATGGCAAAGCACCGTCCTTTTGTTTGGTGCAAGTCCCATTTTTCCAGCAGCAACTGCTTCTAGTTAAGCCTCATTAGAGAAAACAGAGAACATCTTGCTGACAACGACAGCATTTACAGAAGGGAAAAACCCAACAACCGAAACGCTGTGGGTACCGAGGGGCAATGCAACTGCTGTGTGCAAGCAACCCTGCTGCATCCATGCACACAAATGCACACATACACACACGTGTGTATGCACACCCATGCACAAAAGCACATAGGTACATACATGTGCTGGGCTCTGCACCCTCTTTGCCAGTACTGTGCAGCCTGTCCCGTGCTGAACAATTCCCAGCTGCCCCCTTAGGGCCTAAAAGTGCAGCTCTTAGACTCCATGGCAAAGCTCCCATGATTTGAAGCAGCAGGGCCAGGCTGTGGGGCTGCTGTCCAAGAAGAGCTGGAGCTGATTTGCTGCAGGCAGTCCTGGGAAGCACTGCGTGTGCCTATGAGTGCATGGCTGCTGCTGCCTCCACGCTGCACCTCGCTCTGGATGGAGCTTTCCCCAGCCATCACATCCAGAACTGCAGCTTTCCTGCAGCAAAAGCAGTGCTTGGGGGGGACCAACAAGTTGGGGGGAGCGTGCAAAGGGCTCTGCATGCTCCTGGCTTTAGCAGGAAAATGAAAACTATCCCGTTTCTCCCTGCTTTGCAATGCAGGATGTTTCTGAGGCGCCCCAAACCTCTGCCACCTCACTTGGAAATGGTGCTCCCACCCCATCCTGCAATTGAAAAAACAAGCTAAGGGAGTGACAAGACTGTTATTAATGCTCTCCCAAAAAGCTTTTTTGGCAGCTCCACGGTCTTCAGGCCCTTCCCCAGGCTGCAGGCTTGTGAGGCACATCTGACTTGTATCCTGCCTGGGGAAGGATGCTCCCAGCATGCTGACTTTGGCAAAAGCACTGCAGTGGCTCAGGAGGCAGGGATTGACCCTGGCCATCCACCCGCATGAGCCGACAAGAGACGCACAGTGCTCGCTGCTTTCCCCTCTCCACCACTCACTTTTGCAAGAATTCCTCCAGGCCACAGAGCTTGAGCACAAAATCCTCAACATCAACGGTGTGCAGCTCGTCGTGCGTGTAGCACAGCGTCTGGTAGATGAGCAGATCCACAGTGGAGGAGCCTATGGGGACAGGGAGCAGAGCTGAGCATCCCCAAGCTGGCACTGCCCCAGAACCCCTCCAACTCCCCCCCTTGGCATTGCTGGGGGGCTCTCCCCACTTTGCAGCCCACTTACAGTCGCAGGTGAAGGTGAGGGGCTCCCGCAGGCTGTCACATAGCACTGTCACCTTCAGGCTGATGCCGTGCCCCAGGTGCTCAGGGCTGAGGCTGACTGCACTCCACACGAAGCCGGTCAGGGAATAGTCCTGGGGGCTGGAGCTGGACCGCAGCCTGCAGGCAAGGGGCAGGCTGAGGGGTGGCTTTCTATTTCTCCCTCCAAATGCCTCCGTTTGGGGAGGTCTCACAAAGCCTGGCAGCCCCAAGCCAGGGATGGCTCATACAAGTCCGTGGTACTCACACATCCAGCATATGGCAGAAAGCAGCCACCTCCTCGTCCCTCTCCTCCGACACCTCAAAGAGCTCATAGCCATTGGCTAAGGAGCGTGGCCTGGGTGGGACCTGTGGGTAGAGCATGAGCCCATCAGCAGCACCCGGGTGCTTCGTGCTTCCCTCATCCCACCTTGCTTCTGCATAGCTCAGGAGCTTCATCCTGCCCAGCCATGCAGATGGACTCCAGGATGCCAAGGGACCAACCCTGGGACAGTGGGGACTTCAGCAGAGCCAGGCTCCCCCCGCTCATGGGGGTCCCCAAGCCCTCCATCGCTCTTCTGCAGCAAACAATGGCCCCGCTGTCAGAGCAATTAACCCAGCCAGCAGCTAACGGGAGGCAGAGAAAGGCAGAGAACACAGCAGCCACTAAAGACAATTTTAATGCCCTTTTATAATTGGTTTCTGGCAGCAAGGAAGCTGAGGGTGACTTACATGGCCCCCACCAGCTGCACCGCTCACCCACCACAGAGCAGGGACCCGGGGGGAGCTGAGTTTGGGGGGAACGAGCCCACAGCAGCCCCCCAGCATTCGCTCCCCAGGCTCCTCGGGGCACAACAGGGCTGGGAGTGAGGCGAGGAGATGGGACACAACCATAACTCACCCTGTTGCCATCTGTGAGGAGAGAAAACAGCCCCTTACCGGATCAGCAGAGATCCTGCGGTTCTTGTTGGGTGCCACATTCTTCCTGTTGCCAAACCGGGAGACGTAGGTCCGTGGGGGGACCTGAGGGGGCATCGTTTTGCTCCGTGCCACCGGTTTACCACTCGATTCCTTCTCAAAAATGCTCCTGCCTTCCTTCCAGCTGCGGGCAGCTTCCCGCAGCACCTGGGACTCGTAGGTGGACTTCAGGTTGAGGCAGGTGATGGCATCGTTGATGCCCTCGTAGTCAGCCAGGCCGTAGGGATCCTCCTCGGAGATGCGGCGGGCGAGCAGCTTGCCACGGGGCTGCTCATGGGCTGAGAAGACGTTGACGTCCCTGGGCTGGGGTCCTTTGGAGGACGGCGGGGATCCCTTCCCCAGGCGCCTGCTGCCTTCGGGGTGGCTCCACACGGAGTTCCGGGGGGGGCAGCGGCGGCGGGGAGAGCTTTTTGGGGGATCCCCCATTGCTGTCAAGAGCTGAAGTGCCATTTAAGGGCTCCCCGAGAAAGTCCCCTTCAGAACCATCGAAGATGTAGAGGTAGTCCCCGGCCAGCGGGGTCTTCAGCCAGGCCGGACCCTCTGTGCCGGTGGGTGCAGCATTGGGCTGTGCTGGGGGCATGGGGAGGGTTGGCGTCAGCCCCTCGGGCGCTGCGTTATTGCAGAGTGCAGGGTCGGAGCCGGACAGAACACGCGTCGCTTTGATCCCGGTGCACCCATGGGTGTTTTCAGGCTCATCCCACGAGATGAGGGGCGGCTCGTGACGCTGCTTGGCCCGGCTCTCCTCCTTGTCCTGCCGCAGGCGTGACAGCGCGTCGTATTCCATCTGCAGGGCCTCGGCCAGCGCCAGCTCCTTGCGGCTGATGCCCACCGACTCCAGGGACTTCCAGTGCTCTCCATTGCCACGCGTGGCAGACATCGCTCTGGGATCGCTTCCTAACCGCGCTCAGGGATCAGGAGGAAGGCATGCTGCACCGCCGGCCACCTGGGCGGAGGGGAAAGGCAAGGGTGAAGGGCTTGACGAGCTCGTTAAGGACCTAACGAGAGAGCCGAGAGAGCCGTGGCCATGGGCGTGCGCCCAGGGGTCAGTTTGGAACGGAGGAGCCCATCAAGGGCTGGAGGTATGGCCCTTCCTCCCCGCAGACATAGAAAGGAAGCTTCAGGAGCTCGGAAGTGTGGTGGCTTAAGTGAAGATTTGGCAGCCCCCAGGCGGGCGGGGAAGGGCTGCTCGGCCCCACAGCTGTGGGGCTGTTGCTGGATTTCCCCAAAGACAAAATAAGGCGGACAAAATAAGACAGTGAGAGGGGAAGGCAGCGCGGCCGACGTCTGGGGCTGACTCAACACGTAACCCCGCTGCCCACACGGGCTTCACAGCTGCACGGGGCCCTACAAGCTCACCGCAAGGCTTTGAGCTCCCTGGTAGCCATGGGAGCATCGCTGTGTTGGGAAAAACATGGCCTCCACCAGCAAAAACGTCGGGAACAGAAGGGAAGAGCGGAGAGAGAAGAGCAAAGGAGGAAGGAAGGGGTGTCTGCAACTCCTGCCTTGCCTCCCACGGGGTACTTATTTGGTTGGCATCATGCATGGGCAGTGAGGCAGAACCCCCCCAGCCTGCCTTGAGGGCTCTGCCCAGCACACGCTGCTTTCTGCCCACCCCAAGTCCCCAGGGTCCCACGTGTAGCCCCAAACAGCTGCCAGCTCCCACTGCTATTCCCTCTGTGCCCACCTACCCGAGAGGCTTCAGGGAACAAGAAACACGGCCCAACCCTCCCAAACGAACCCAGCGAGTTCATCTAAGCCCCCCCACGTCCCCATCGAAGCCCCAGGGAGGTGTTCAGAGCCGTCTGCTGTGCATTAGCAGGGATGCTGATACATCCCCTGGGGCCCCCAGCATTGCACAGCCTCCAAACCCAGCGATTTTGCAGAACTCAGCTGTATGCAGAGAGATGGAAAAGCCCGATTTGAAACCACCTTTCTGGCCTGGATCACGATATCAAAACCGCAACGACCGCAGAGCAGAGAACCCAGAGATGGCTGCTCTTCCTGGCCAGGAATCACCCTTCAAGGAAGGATTACCTCCTTTTCCCTGCCCAGCAAAATAAATCGCGAAGTGGATGTTAAACAGAGAAGTGGAGTGAGCCCAAAGGCCCTGGAGACGCTCAGCACTTGACATCTCCGGAGCTGAGAGCCAGCTTGGTGTTTTCTTGCTCCATCCAGGGCTCATGAGACTCAGCAAGGGACAGACATGGGGTCTGCCCTGAGCACGGCAGCCCAGGACATCCAAACTGCCCCCAGAGCCCTGAGCCACTTGGCCTTAAATGGACCAGATGGCTGCTAATGAGCCCAGCCCAGGCTTTGCCTGCTGCAAACACATTTCTTCCCAAAGACAGCAGGGACTCGACCCTCAGCGTGAGCCCCAGCATGAAGCTGGCTGCTCACCTCGCTGAAATAAGCTTTGTTGAGCTGTCTAAACTGCAGGGAGTCAGACAGGAGGTGGGACCTTTCCCCAGCACTTGGGTCCCTTTTGGCAGCCATGGACTCTTCCTGGAAAACCAGAAATCCCAAAAGCTGGAAGCGCTGGAAGCTGAACAAAGCAAATCTGCTTGAAACCCCAAAGCAATAAAATGAACTTTTTTTTTTTTCTTCTTATTTTTCATTTGTGGCTGACAAAGCTGCAAACCCATCCTCATCTCCAAGAGAAGCACCCACAGCAGGCAAAGCAGCCCCAAAGCGATGATCCCCATCTTAGGGCAGCAGGAGCATGGCGATGCAAACCCACACGAAGGAGCCCCAGACAGCTGCTCCACACTGGGGTTTGCTATGGGGCCGTTCCCACTGAATGCCTCCTCCACCCTGCAGTTATTAGAGAAAAAATTACACAGGGCTGAGAGCTGCAGATGAGGACTCAGCCAGGGGACTCCAGAGACAGAACTGAATTCCAGAGATGCAGACGAGCGGATTTCTTTTTTTTTCCTTCCTCTTTCGAATACCATTACTCATCATATAGGGATAATTTTCTGACTTTAAATTTCCTGGCTTTTGCCATGGTCACGTCAGCCTCGGGAGAGCATTCGGCTGCGTCCCACCTTTCGGAGAAAGGCTTTGCTGTGCTGACTTCCTCCAGCACGTGGAGCAGCCCAGGAAGGGAAAGCACTTGTCCAGGGAAACCCGCAGCCCCGTGGTGGTTTAACAGGATTTTCTACATATTTTGCAGCAGTCAGGGAGATTGCAGCCTTGTGGGGAACCACACGCAGACACCACATCCCTCGTTTTCCTGCCAGGAGCTGCAGCCCTTTGCGCTGTCACAGCAGCAGAGAAGAGGGACATTTCCCCATCCGAGTGCCCCAAACCCACCTTCCCTCCAGTTCTGAGATACACAACATGTCTGCATCCCACACCTCCAACATCTGCAACCCCCAGCTGTGCCCAGGGGTTCCCCACCTCCTTATACCTGCATCCCCAAAGCACTGGCTGATGGTTTTGGTCTCTGGAGCTCACGAGCTCTCTGCATTGCTCCCCTGCCCCTGTGGACAATCCGAGTCCTCATGCAAAGAGCTGAGCATCAGGGTGGGAGGAGGGTGAGGAGATGGAGGTGCAGGGTGGGCCAGCGCTCTCCCACCCTCCCTCCCTTCCCCCTCACAAGCAGCTGCACGGGGAGCAGATTGAAATGGCTGAAGCATTTGGGAAGACATCAAACAGCTGAGGGCGAGGAAGCAAAGCGAGCCCTGGAGGGGCACTTTGCTGGGTGTGGGAGCTGGGGGATGGAGGTTATGCCTATCAAGGGGAGACAATCCCTGACCATTTATAATCCGGCAGAGGGAGGAGCAGCAGTGAGGAGGATAAAGCATCAAGCTTCACCTCTGGGGCTGCAGGTCCATCCATCCTGTGCTGCTCCCACTGCATGGGGCCAGGGCCGTGTTCCCAGCATGTTACAAGCTGACAAATCTTCCAGGATGTCCAGGAGCTGCAGTGGTAAGGATGCTCCCATATCCAAAACCAGCCCCACGCAGCTCCTAAACAGGGCTGTGTCCCTTTCTGGCTCCAGCACTCCAGAGCATGCAGGTCCCAGCCCTTCCTGCACTGAAACTAACTCCACTCTCAATTCTCTTCCTCTCCAAAATGGAAATGGGAGCTGTGGGAGCTCCCAGCAAAGCAGTGACCAAGGGAAGCTCGCCGGCTTGGTCCCCCAGGTTGTGTTTTGTGGGATTTTGTTCCCAGGTTGGAGCTGCAGTTCCAGAAAGGAAACTTCCTCTAAAATCTGGTCACCTAAAACCGAAACCCTGAGGGCGTCATTCCTGGAGCCACACTCAGCACCACCAAAACACACCAATAACCAGCGAAACCGACCTGATTCCTCCCTAAAACCGACCCCAACAGATGCTTTGCAGTTGCTCCAATTGTTTTCCTCTGGAGCTCCACGTTCTCCCCATGCAGCTCTGCACACAGTCCTGCACGCGCCGAGCCCAGCAAACGCCCTGAAAACAAACAACGCCATTTGCTCCCAACCTGTTGCCTTACAGCACGAGTTTTTCTTCCTCTTTAGGCCCATGCATCTCCTATTAATAGCAGAGCAGAGCCCGGCGCAGTGCAAGCTCTCTGGAGGAGGCAGGATGTGAAGTGCTCTGATGCCAAATGCTCTTCAAGCATTTTGCTACGCATTTCCACCCTCGGGAGGAAATCCTGCCTGGGGAAGATGGGTCAGGTTCAGGATGGGAAAACCCCTGACCTGGGGCAGCAGAAGGAGGGAGACCTGCCCAGGATCCAGCCCACACCCAGGGACAGCAGAGGGGACAGCAGAGGGGACAACAGTGGGATGTCACAGCCTTGCAGTGAGGTGTGACAGCCACACACCCACACAGGAACGCTGACCTTCGCCCAGCATCTGGTAGTAAAAGCACAGGGAACACAGGAAGGGACACAGCTGGGACGTTTCTGCAGAGCCACTCACCACTTCTGCCCTCTGCTCTCCAGGCCCCAGGTGCATCTGTGTCACACCCAGGGCTGGGGATTCTGAATTACTCAGCCCTCCCTCCTCCAGCGCCCGGCACCCAAACCCAGGGCCGGGTTCTGTCTGTGCTCAGCATCCGCAGGGGATGCTTGTGGTGTGGGTGCACGGCTTCTATGCAAATTTCAGCTTCCTCAGTTCCCTCCAAGCAGGGGTTATTACATATATTTATACATAAATCCACCCTGTATAGCCCACAGTGGAAAGCACAGCAGTCCCAGGCTCAGTGACCCTCAGTGCCCTCACACTGCCAGCCCAGCATCTCACTGCGAGGTGCTGGAAGCTGCAGCTGCCCCTGCTTTGCAAAGGGACCACGAGCTGCATCTTCAGTTCCTGCAGCCACAGCGTTCCCCAACATCCAGAGGACACACAGCACTTTGGCTGTGCCACCTCCCGGCTCTCTCCATGGGGATGCCAGCAGATCCAGCCCCGTGATGGGAACTGGTTCCTTGCACCGCTCGGATTTACATCTCATGGGATTAAGACACAGCCATGCATGCCGGTCAGGCGTGCCCCGCTCCTCCCCAGCACCAAAGCACACGGAAACGCCTGGCTCGGGATGAGGCGGTGGCTGCAGCCTCACCCCCAGGGTGCTGGCAGCGGCTGCACATCGCGGTGTGCATCCAGGCAACGCACAGCGTGCACTCACACTGCAGCACGCGAGGATGGAGAGGCGGCTCCTTGCTCCCCGCAGCTCCAGCTTTCATATTTCAGGCTCCGTATATTTCGGGTGGTGCTGCTGAAATGCGGTGGGGCTGCACCTGGCTGGGGGCCTTGAGATCTGAGCAGCCCATTTCCCTCACCCCATCGCACTCCACGCCACGCTTACCCTCCCGATTTAGGAGGAGAAGATTGATTTTTTCTGCTAGTTCACCCCAGCCCAGATCCTGCGAACAATTGCATTCGTGCTTGGCATATACACATGAATAGCTGCGGTTAAGTCAATACATCTCCTTTGCTTAGGGGCAATAGCTCACATTTCTCTGGAGTTTACTGTTAAATACACACATGAACATATCTGCAAGTTCAGGATCCAGGAGCAGAAAGCATCCAGGCTGCAGCAAGCCTGAGAAGCACCTCCAGCCCCGTGTGCTGCCCAGAGCCCATGGCTGCACCGTGGGAAGGGCTGAGCCTGCCCTCCAGCCCTGCCTGTCCCCATCCCGATCCCCATCCTTTGGGGGGACACTTTGACATCACGGCCGAGCACACGGAGCCCAGCGCCGCCTCTCCCCACCTGGCAACTTCGCAATCCGATGGGCACCGTTCCATTGTTCTGCAACGCACCCCACACAACTCCCCCCCTCACGGCACACTTTAAGGACGGGACCCCAGCCCCGTTGCACCCCCCCTCTTACCTCGCGGTCCTTCGGGCGCTGCCAGGAGCCGAACCGCCTCCCCGCAGCGCTGCACCGAACAGCGCGGATCAACGCCGCGAAGCGTTGAAAAACCCGGAGCGAGCAGCTAAAAACCTCGGGACCGGCCTCCTCCCGCCGACCCCCAAATCCCACCGCTCTCGTTTGCGTGCCTTCGGTTCCAGCTCTGCACCGCAGCCCTACCTGCTCCGAGCAGACCCGGCGGGCAGCGCGGGGCCGCGCCGCGGCGGCGGCGGCTGCGGGCGGAGGG